TGCAATACTAATTCAAAACATTTATGAAACAAATTGAAGTGTGAAAAAACAAGAGCAGAGAAATAATCAGAGGACTAAACAAAGAGGAGGAAGATGATTGCGAGAAATAAACTACCAAGAACTAGACAGTACAATAAAAACCCTTTCCTCCATTAAAAATGAACTCATGTTTAGTCACTGTGACCTTGTCCAAAAGACGGACCAAAATCCATGTGACACTTAAATAATCATGTATGACAGAAGTGCTGATTAAAAAAATAATGCTCTTACTTTCATTGATATGAAGCGAATAACACCAGGACAAGTGTGCTGGGATCTTAAGATGGGAAGTAGCCTGTGATCTGGCAGGCTATAACGATGCAAAACATTACAGAGATTCTTCAAAGAGCCTCTCTAGATGGGAATCATCACCAACCACCCTCTCACTCACTCACACAGACAGCGCTACAACCTCAGGTCACCTCCAACTCTCTCACTCTTACAGATGAGGTGTAAAGATGAACCGCGACAAAACCAAAGTGCCTCAAGCAAAGCCCCCGGTGTCGCAAAAATGACTTCTAAACAAACCGAATACTACATAGTTTATGAATCACAGCCTTTTCCTCACGCTACCTACCTACAAACCTACGCACTCGTCTATTCGTCTACCTCTGTCACGCACACAGTCCAGGAATCAACAGGAACGTGTCCAGAAAACATCAGATGTTCTGCAGAAAGGGAGTATGTGTTTGTTCCCGAGCGCATTAGTCAGTCAGTCATTAGCTGGTTTCACATGATAAACCATCAACTTGTGTGATGAGCAATTTGCACAGGACAGATGCTCCAGGTCCTCAGGTCCCATCAAGAACTGGTCCTTTGGGACACCTGGGGCAGATTTATTACTTGAATCACACCAATTCTTTTTTCTTTTTAAAAAAAAAAACAAACAAACGGGTCCTTGATGTGAGACCAACGTAAAGAAAGCAGCCTTTTTATTTCCAGCCAGCAGCAATGTCGTTTAAAACAACACAGTAAGGATGTCTTAAAAAAGCAGTTGATGGCATACACATTGCTTCAGCATGTGGAGAAACACACGAATAGTTAACTGATCGGGGGAGGGGATTATCAAAGGGTCAATTAAGGTAGACAGATTTAAAGGTCTTCCTGGACAGCAGTGTTTATTTTTGTTATCTTAGTGTTCAGAACAAATTTATTTTTTATAATTCATTGCCTCATGTCAGTGACTTAAAGAGCCTGCGATTAGAAAAGATTTACAAACCCTGATTTCTTTTTGTTGTCGCTATAAAGAATACACACAAACGCCGACATTATTCAGTCTTCGACTCTTCTAAATTTAACCAGCAATGTGCATTGAAGACAAACAGCCACAGGTGCACTGAGCTCTATGGGCCATGCCACCTTACTTGTCGCTTTCTGTTACACACTCCATCTTGATTGCCCTTTTGCCGTTTTCCCCCCGCTCATCTATCCATCTATCTTTACCCTCCTGCCTCATGTCTTGTCGCTTTACTGCCCATCACTTTCCTCCCCTCTCTTTTTGCTGCTGGATTTGTGACATTTTACTGCTTGCACACATGGCTCATCCTTTGCGCGCGCACACATACACAAACATACTGATAGACCAAGACACACATACAGGAGATAAACAGGGCTTTCTGAAATGCCAAACATAATTCCACACAACAGAGGAGAGCAGCATGTTATCAAGTGTCAACCAAGTAACTCAAACTTTGGTTGGTGCATTCTGGTTTTCACTTGAATTGAAAAGGTATTACGATACTTCACATGCTGAGGAATTGTCATGATTACAGGAGCCACCCAACTCAAAGAAAGATTTGTAAAGCTTAGTGTGGTCTTTCTCAGATTTGCTGTGGCCACATTTTCTTCATTGGGAGGGGGGCAGAGTTATGAGGATGTCAGTCTTCAGCGTCATATCTCTTGTGAGCAGACCAAAGCATTAATCGTTCTTGGATGTGTTGCCAACACTCTGGCTTACTGGTGACATTCCAACACGGCACTAGCAACACTCTCCAAAGCTACCACTCACAAACCCAAAGAAAACACTGAACCACAACTCTTGTTGTAGACAATAAAGGAACATCTTCATTGGTCTCCATCAGCACATGATTATCTTGTCATAGTGCTCTAGATTCAGCCAACTATGTATGCTTATTTATACACATATCAGCCACCTGCTAAATGAAATTAATTAGCTAGGACAGAAAACACTTGCTGAATTAAGTAGGGTGTCCACGTCAAACAAGTGTCACATTTTCAAACTATTTACTTCAGCAAAACATTTTTTTATTTATTTTTTTAGAGCTACAGGAGCAGACAACATATTACTGTGGTTCTACGGTACACAATCCAGGTTTTCAGGAGTCCATCTGATTTTCAGTGTAGAAGGCTACTCAACTCATGGACAGAATCAAACTTGTGACGCCAGGTGGTTGCAGTTAACTATCTGGTAAGATAAAACCTGAGTGTTTTCATAAATAATGTGTTTTCATAAATAATGTGCATATTTTTTCAAGCTGGCAATGGATGATTTCATGCCATTCATCCATTATTAAACAATACAGGTGCATGGACCCTGGGACATCAAACCCAACCAGACCACTCTTAACAGCAGGCAGGCTTTAAATTCAGTGGTGTGAGAATGTTGAATGTTGCTTGTTTTGCTCAACAAAATCTTTGAAAAGAGATGTCAAAGTTTCAGACTGCCACCAGCAGTCTTCAGAGAAACACGTTTAATTCAAAACCTTGTAACAGTTATCCAGTGTGTTTTGCATCAATGTACCGTTTTCTGCCGGTGTCAATGTGATACAAAGCTTTTATACTAGTTTGATGGTAAAGAATGCAAAGTTCTCCAATTCATGTCTGATCAGCACATGCACCAGGGTTGCTCACAGTATCTTGTTGCACACACTGTCCTCTGTCGTTTTGTCCTTCCAAAAGAAATCCTGCTTTTACACTGAGAAACAGCTGTTGCCATTGCAGAAAATTATTTCAATTGCAGCCAGCATAAGAGAGGTACAGAGGTTGGCATCCTAGTGTGTTTACATAATCAATTGAGGAGAGGACAAAGGACAGTGTCCACAAGCCCATCACATCCTGGCTAACATCAAACACTTTCTCACTCTATTAGAAGGGAACATTTATCTATTAAATCTGTGCTGACAGTTTGTCAAGCACACTCCAACTTAAATGAGAAATTAGAGTTGAGAAAACCAATTTGACTTGCAATTTCACCTCATCATGACTAATTCAAAGCAGACTGAGGAATTACTATGACTGAGCAGACTGAATTTTCAGTTCCACTACGCTACAGCTATCCCTTTATTCACCTCACACCTCATCATTTTCATCTCTCTACATGTAAGAAACACTGTATGAAATACAGCAAAGCAAATGTTAAATGAAACCATTAACTGATCTTTTATTTTTTTATATAAAAAAATAAATATATTTATTTTATTAATTTTTAATATTATACTCCACATCCTGTATAATGGGTACCCAAAACGGCAAACACAAGTGGATAAACTCTTACTGACCTATGGATGTAAACTCACACCTCCAAATGAATTTACATTAATCCCTGCTGACATTCATTCTTGTTTAATTTACACTCAAAATAGGACATGAAGAGCTTTTCTTTACTTGGTTGTGCAAAAAAAAATACAATAAAAATAAGCATCATTGCTCATTTTCTGCCACTCTGTTTAACAAAGACAACATTTTAATATGTCACTGGCATTTCAGCTTTTAAATAGGCTTTACTGAGGCTTAATAACTGGAATGTGTCTTTTCACTTAGCAACTATATAAATGTTACATTTCCAAGAATTTGAAATTATTTAGTTGCTTTTCCATCTTACCAGCATCTCTACACAAAACAACAACTCAACTGCTGAGAAGACTTGCTCACCTTGATAACTGACTACCCTGGCTTCACCTTGAAATTAAATGCTTTAATTTACACAGTAATAAATCTATGTTGACACTGCTCATGGTATTTAATAGCTCAACACAACGTTCATCTCAATGTACAGGGCAAAAAAGGCACATGTGAATTCGCTGTTAAGAGTTACTTCAAATTACCTCAGACTCATCCAGACAGCAAATGGACCTTTTTCCATTGCAGGGTGAAAATGAAAGATGCAAATGTTTCAATTCTGTACTTCTTTCTTATCCAACTGAACCAGTAACTAGCTTTAAACAAATTGTCAACCATCTGTTAAAGTAAGTACTTGGAGTGGCAGAGTTGTTTAACACTAACTTTCATTAGGCTGACAAAAACAAAAATAGTACAATTTTCCCAGTCTGACTGATTTAACACTTTGTACCACACTAAGTATCATGTTTATAAGGTGTTTTAAAAATAAAGCACACAATACCAAAGAATCCAAGACTTTTTACTTTCTTTGTACGGGTGCAGACTTCGGGTGGCTTTGTCTGATTAGGAGTGTAAATATTTGTGGTAAGATAAAGGTGTGGGAGACCTGTGATGCTGTTCATGACATCATTGGCTTATATGAGCAGTTTTAGACACAGGGTATGTTTTCAGTCTGAAAACCAAGAAATAAAGAGTATTAGAGAGCAAGTAATCAACCAGACAGGTCACACAAAGATGTAAGAAGTGTCTAGGAACACTGAAACACCACTTCACAGTAACCTGTTGTACTCTGCAGACTGGCTTTGATAGTTTGAGATAGGCTCTTATCAAGCCATTCACAGCAAACCAATACAGAGAACACCATTACATTTAAATCTCTGCTGTCAAGAGAATATCGCTCCTCAGGGTCTAATGCAGTTGCCTACTTTTCAGCTTGACAACAAAGCATTTTGACATATTTCACAATTTTCCATCAGCTCAAGAGGTCATGCTTTTCTCACCCCGCAGGAAATAATGATGAGCATGTTAAATGCAAATGAAAGCAGGAAAAAGCTGCAGACAAAGCACCAGCACCCTCAAGCACACATGGCAGGATGTCCTACCTTGACCCCTCGCACTCTGAACTCGGCCAGGGCTCGGCTCATCTTGGAAGCGGCTGTCTGCAGGTCCTTCCCGCTGGCGATGACTTTTACCAGCAGGGAGTCATAGTGGGGGGAAATGACAGCACCCTGGAAGGCAGAGGCACTGTCCAGGCGGATGCCCATGCCTTCACCGCTTCGGAAGACCTGGCAGGAACAGAACAGAAAAGCGACGAGTGAAGGACTTTATATAACAAAAAAATCTTGATATTAAAAAAAAATAAGATTACAGATTCCCTGCATAAACAAATACATGTTCAAAATACTGTTGTTCATTGACACCAAGTGAATTATTTTAAATAAAAAGGTTAAAGGTGGATTCTGCTGCAGTTAGCAAGAAAATACGCTAGCACAATTTTCTTGCTAACTGCAGCAGAATCCACCTTTAACCTTTTGACAAATACGCTAGCACAATTTGTCAATTTAAGATTTAGTGTTTTCATTAGAGCAATCATTGTCTCATTCTGCATGGTCCACAAATATCAGTGGATGTATGTTTTTTAAATACATTCTTCAGATACTTCTTGCAGGAAATTCTAATGTGTGTGTCGATTATGTGCAACTGCGGTTCCTCAGTAATCAGCTTTATTCGCAGTACTTAGGAAACAATTGTACAAGTAATTGCACCCCTCTGTCTCAGCTCACAGGAGTATAAAAGATCAGCTGTCTAGTACATGTAGCCATTGCTTCAGAGGTCAAAAGAGGGAGGCAAGAGAGCATACCAGTCACACAACAAAAGTGAAAGACAGGGCATCCAAGTGGTTCGGTGGTCTGAAATGTGTCAGTGTGTTAGAGTTTAAATCCAGCTCTGGATCCTAGTCACGCATTTCTCAGTATTTCATATCACCCACAACTTTAAACTGTCAAATGAAAGTGAACATACCAGGAACCTAAAAACTGCCTAAAATAAATTTGGCAAACTAAAACTTTGACACTGCACCCTTCCCAAAGGTGCAAGACGCAGAGTCAAATGGTTCTTTGCTATTGTGGGTTTACCATTTTAGTGTAGTGGCACAGCATTTTTCATTCCTTACATGTTTAAATTTTAACCCATCCACAGCATTTGTTAATGGTTTGTTAGTGGATTGTAAATGTGGACATCGCACATCTCTTAAAAACGTAAATTAACCTGCAGACAGACATACGAGAAGAGCAAAATAAAGAGATAAGAGGTGAGAAAACAAGCACGAGATGAGTTAGAAACAGAAAGGCTGGACTGTTCCAAAGCGCTTGGCAAGAGAGCAGAGGAGAGATGTGAAGAGGAGACTGAGGACTGTCCAACACCACAACATATGGAGCCCCTCGAGGGGCCGGAAGAGAAAGGAGAAGAAATTGTAATTATAGCAATGTTGTGCCACAGTGATGATATGCTGGTAATATGTTCAGACAATGTAGATGTGCTGCCAGCATTTCAACAATATTTTTTCATTATACTTTTGCTCTTTACAACTCACCATTTTATCTAAAGTGATTTTGCCCTCATTCAGTTTTGTTCACCTCCAACGGCTTAAAAATCATCAAAACACTGTAATTCCAAAACGAACATACGCACGCACGCACGCACGCACGCACACACACACACATCAGGAGTTCTAATCTTTTTCAACACAAAATGGAGGCCAAGCTGAAAGAGACTGCCTACATAAAGCTGTGAATGTATGAGATGCTGAAGGAGCGGAAATTGTCACGAATATTGCTGCACACTCAGAAATGGCCTCTACACCTGTGCAATATGCTGTTTCAAAGCTCAAAGCCCCAATTTCCAGGTTGTGATTTTCATAAAGCCCTGCACACCCCTTTGATTTTCAAGGCTCAAGGCTGGCCATCAACACTTCAAGTGTCATTGAAGTAGATCTCAAAGTTCCACACTCACGCTTTCTGATGTGTATGTGAATAACTCAGCATAGATTCAATTTGAATTCAAAGTGTAGGTTTTTGTATTTGAAGAACGTGATTACAACAGACACCCTTCAAATTTTAAAAGACTGCTGCAGTGCCAGTACACTTTGTTATTTAGCAAGCTTCAACAGCTTTGCTTGCATAAAACCATTTTCTGAGGACAGAATCATTTTCAAGTAAATACATTTCAGGTAGGGACAATTGTTCAAAATAGACTCGTAGCATTCATGAATGCAACCCCGATCTCTACAGGAGGGAATATTTTACTGAAGCACATAAAACAGGGACACTGATGATTTCTGCAACTGACAGAACAAAAGACAAACTAAGAGTTCAACAAACGGGTGACAGGCAATAAAACCAGGAATGTTTTTTAAAATGTGTACAGTATTTACGTATATTTCTTTATCTGGTGTTTTGTAAAGTCGAATGCATCAAATAAAAATCTAACAGTACTTTTGATGAGCCATATTTTGCTACAGTAATCTTGATGACTCAAGTTGCCTATCCTGCTTTGTGTAAATGCCTGTGGGAAAATCTACACTGTTTCCTTTTCCTTTCATTAAATCTTTCCTCTCTGTGAACAAACCTTATTTTCAAATTGTTCTCCGTCGACCCTTGACACTGCAGGCCAAGCATACACATGGACAAATGCATCTGTTAAGTGTTGGCTGCTGGGGTTTATTTGCACGTCGATATTATATATCACACAAAATATGGTAAAACCTTGCTCACTTTGGAGATGATTCTGCTCTTAGCTTTGACCCATTCAGTCTATACGTCCCCACTAGTTGACTGAGCACCAAGGCCTTTTTCTTCCCAGTTACATCCAGCTGAATAATCACGCAGTTTAGGCACTTTTATCCAGAACAACTTGAAGTGATAAAAGGGGGAGGCGAAGGATCAGAGAAAGGCTCAAAAGCTCTTCTGTTCCCTGAAAACCTGGCCTTTGTTGTTGTCTTGCAGTGAAGTTTTTTATTTTGAATCATTAGCGCTACCCAACAGCTCTCTTACTCTCTTCACATCCAGAAGCTGCCCACACCATCTAGGGTATCGACTGACTGGGTATCTTGTCATATATTTCCTGAAAGCCAAATGCAACCAGACAAAGAAACACTATCGTGAACACATCTGCAAGATTACACATTTTATCAACAAAGAAAACATTTTGAGCCTTTAAATATGGGCCAATATTGTAATACAATTAATACAATTTCCTAACTGTGAACAGTGTTGTCCTGCTTGTGTCAGGAGACTAATCAAACACACTGCAAGACAGATGTTTGCCGTTACACTTTACCACACACACACGTACAAATATATGCATATAAATATGTAGTTGGACTGGAATCCACAAAACTAGCACAGTGGAGCCTCAAGTTATTGAAACCACTCAGATATAGGTTGTTTTGCAGAGGAAAACAAATTTAAAAAAATAAAACATTTAATTGCACAGGGCTTTCAGAAACTGTGGACGCACAAAGTATCCTGAATGGCCTTAAGGTTTATAATTAAACTGAGTCTCACTTGACCTACTGTGTGAAAGAAACAAATAATCCCAACAAACAATATAGTTTTGCACATAAGGCATGTGTGGAAGCACTTCCATTTTACTTTAGTCTACCATTTCCTAATGAGGGACAATGCGCTTTTAAGTTGTCCTTTTGTGTACGCGCCTTTATGAATAGTAAGTTAATTTTGGCTTTGGGGCATATCTATATGAGATGAATGGTGCCACAGCAACAGCACAGAGATGAGAAACACAGTCAACAAGGACTCGAACCTAAACAGTGCCACAAAAGATTTTATAGCCAGACGGGGGAGTGTTGGTGGGAGCAAAAGTGAGAGAAAGAGAGCGAGTGCGAAACTGTACAGGCATAATTGAATGAAAAGCCAAGCACAATGTTAATAATTGAAGTCAAGGTGTCAGCTTCCTTTAGCCCAGGGCACTGTCTAACAAGAAACCCCCACTTTTTTCTCTCACATTCGCTCCATGTCATTGTCTGTCTCTGTCTTACCACCCTTTCTCTCACGCTCTCACTCGATAGTCACAGATACTAATAATCTAAGTACAAAGGCTTTGTAATGGACACATACATGCACCGATTTGGACCCCTATTGTCCTGCACTCCCACACATCACTGCCATCTTGCTCACAAGCTCGTGTCAGAACTTCCAGTTTGTTATTAGCTTACTTGTAATAGTATTTCCACAACACGATAACTTACCACTGGTGACTTCTCACTGTAGTTTACGCATTTTACTCTGCATTTTGTTCATTTCTCACAGCCTATTGCAAGTCTATTTTAAATCAGTCTCTCTCTCATTTGTCTGTCACCACCTCGCTGTCTACAACTTTCTTCTTTTTCAGTGCTTGATGTGTATCACTCAGAAACACTCTTCATATGCAGCAAAGGGTCAGTGGTGTATTTCTCTGACACTGTATGAAAGAGCACTGGTCTGCCATGGGCACATTACAAATCCTCACAACCCGGCCTGCTAGAGCGGTCTTAAAAAAAATGATTTCTCAAATCTCGAAAAACACACATTTCTCTTCAGGAATTCAGACAAACAAGTTGATTTCCCCACTGACGCCCATGCATTTTCAAGAATGTCAAAACGGCTTCTCGATGGGTTTCAGAAGCCCAAGTCATAACACTTCCTGAGCGCGTGGCGGAAAGTGAAAAATCTAAAAACAGAAAAAGCCAACAGCATATAAAAAAAAATGGACTTACAGTGTTTCACTTGACTGTGGTGATATGTTGCCTTACAAGTGGAACAAGGCAAGAGAACATTTGCAAAAAAAAGTGTCAGGGCCCGGGAAGTGTATCTGAATGTTTATTTAAGGAAAGAGAAACTGTGTTACTCTGATGTCAATACAGATTTTGAACACTTTGCTCAGTGACTTGAGAAAATAGGTTTTACCCAAAAACTGGGAAATAAGTTGTGTGAATTGGAGTAAAAAATGTGTGCTCATGTGCCAAAATGCATTTATCACAGTGCCTTGCAATTTATCATCGAGATAAAAATCACACTCACCATTGTGAATTATATATGATGAAGCGAAGTGTCTCTCTCTACCTAAAGGACAAGAATTCCATTTCACTGCACTTATCCAAAGGACTCAACTCCTGAAACTGCTTCAATTTTCTTCGTTAGTTCTTTTAATTTCCACAACCTATGACACAAGCTCACAGCTTACATAAAGAATAGCTTTAATTTTTGCATCTTTGCCAGACCGCTGAGTT